ACTTCGCAGGGCACTTACGGTCGAATAAGACAACGCTTGAATGCTGCTGCCTGAACAAGAGACCTCCTTACTGAGGTGAAAGTGTGGACTGGTGTCACTATCTCGCAAACACTCCGGCGGATCTCCACCAAATTCGGGGGATCCCTTCAGCTCGAGGAGCCTTCTCGAACGCCACCCCTGCGCGTCGGTAGCCCCCTGGGATCGCTTGATCGGTCGGTGCCGGACCGTGAATTTAACCACCCGTAACTCCCGAACCCCGGGGTCTATCGACGCGGGGGTGGTCTCATTCGAAAGCGGGCCTCTAGACGTACTCTCGATTTGCGTTCGAGAGGGTTCCTAACCGTGCGGGGGTGGTCTCATTCGAAAGCGGGCCTCTAGATGTACACTCGATTCGCGAGAGGGTTCCTCGAGCTGAACGGATCCCCTGAATTTGGTGCGGATGCGTGCTCTGCTGGACAAACCATTTCAAGCATTTTATCTGCGTTATATGTTCTGTAAAAAAAAATTTCATATCGTCGGCATATTCGCCGATACCGATATATAGGCGACAGGCTCATATCATATCAGGCTCTAGTATTCATGTTATTAAATATTCAATATATTTTAAAATATATATGTATATATATATATATTATATATTTTAATCTATTTATTTTTTAATTTATAAATAATATTTGATTATTATTTAAATAATGTTTTATGTTTTTTTTTTTCTGTTTAATTTAATTTTTATTTAAAATGTATCGCTAGAATAGTACAAAATCACACATCAGGGTTTTAAACTGCTTTAAGATATATCATCAATTTTGGGGTTAAAAATGGCAAACCCTATAGAAAAAAGAAAAGAAAAAAAAAACAACAGAAATATCAGAACCTGTTGGGTACTGTTGGGTAGTGTTGCAAGTTTTATGCAGTGAAACAAGTGATTGTGATTGTAGGTGGTACTGCATTGTAGGCGAGCAGTTTATGAGAGGAAATATGAAGTATGCTGTGTTATCTTATCGTGCTATCTTATCTGGATTACATGCAGTAAACATTTAGAGATCACAGGTGTGATGTGGTGTGCAACAGCATGTCGTGTATGTTTTAAGCGCTGGGCTTGGCTACAGATGATTGCACAGACCCATCTCGGTTTGCGGGAAGCCTAAAAGAAAAGGTGTGAAAGAGAGATATAAATAGTGGTATTCTTGAGAATTCTGGTCTTTGTAGGGTGCAGCAGCGAAGGCTCGGCTTCCTCTAGCAGAGAATCATTGACATATGGGCTGTTTTCTGAGAAATTAACTTAACAGTGTCAGTTCTCCTCTGAAGACTGAAGGAGACAAGAAAGGGAGAGAGAGAAACAGCAAGAAGGGATATTCTGATACCAAGTTTAGACAGGAGAGGATTAGGTTGTGCCACTGGCATAAAAGAGAGTTTGCTTTGTACTCTGAATTATTTGCTGGCATTTCCATGTTTTTGGCGTATTTCTAGCCTTCCAACAAGTCTGTGTCTCGGATATATAAGCTTTTTGTTGGAGATTATTTTGATGCCGAGTTTAGCTTACCACCTGGTCTGTGCTCTCAGCAGGTTTTTTTTTGTTTTTTGTCTATAATTTAAAGTTAGCTTGATTCTAAATAGGGTTAATTCAAACAAAAATGAAAAATCTGTCATCCTGTCATTATTTACTCATCCTCATGTAATTTCAAACCCCTACAACCTTCTTTCTGCTATGGAACACAAAAGCAGACATTTAGCAGAATGTTCGAATTGCTTTTTCCATTAATTTCATTGTTTAACATTAATAAGAGAGCGTACTCACTGCTATTGATGGTTTACTTGAATAATTAATGGAAAATTTAGAAGCAGTCTTTACTTCATTGAGAAATAATTCAGTGTCATTCATTTCATTTTTATTTTAATATTGGTATTGACTACTGGAATTTTGCTGATATTGTGCAAATGATTTTTGAGAGCTGCTATTTAGATTTAGATACAGCATTGTACATTTCAGTTATTTAAAACCTAAATTTCGACATCCAGCACTATCAAAATCATTGCACTCCATTTCATTAACAAGCAAGTATTCGCACAATCTGTCAAGTGTTTGAAATTGAACAAGGCTGCTACATTTAACTGCACACTTGCTATTAGGACGAGCTGCTTTTCAAATTGGAAATATTCACATTATAAGAACATAACGATAATGTCTAAGTTGCATTGTGGTGAAAAACCTCTCAACCACATTGTTCACGTTGGTCACTCTGTCAAAGTGCTCGATGCGACAACCTGACCCCATATGAAACTATTTGCATTTAGCGTGCTCGCATGCTTCTGACAACTTGCATCGTACACTTTTTATTTTTTCTCCACTACAGCTCACTGTTTTTCATTCAAATTATTTTTGTAATACTGCAAGTGAAGTCTCTGATGAAAGTTCTGCATGTGCAGTGCAACGCCCTGATGAATAATGAAATTTGTTGTTATCTGTTTTCAGTCGTTGTTGCAGCCCTAATATCCCAAATGCGCTGTGAAGCACAGTTAGCTCACTGAAATGGCATGTAGATGCTTTCATGTCCAACAGCTACTCGGCTCACAGCCGAAAATGAGTTTACATCAGTCAGACTGTTCAAATAAATGACCGTGTTAGGACTATGACAGATCCTCCAGGTGTTTTATAGTTTCCCTTCATAGCGGGAACTTTGTTTAATCTCCATTCAAGCCTCTCGTCTGGTGAAACTTTTTAAGACTGACCTGGTATCTGCGTGACCTGGTATGTTGAGACTAGTTATTTAGAAGATAATCGTCAGTATTTGTAAATGTCAGCCAGCTGTACTCTACATTCACTATGAGTCAGTTCTTCTGCTAGTTGCTCTGCTGTATGATTTCAGTGTTAGCAGCTGTTTTGGGGCGACAGAGCAACTAACCAGACTGACTGAATGACTGATTTATGAAGTTGTGGTTTGTGGTCTCAGAGCTAGATTCCACTTTTGCTTTGCAAAAATGTTCCTGGTCGCTTGGGATTGGTTGCAGATTTTCATAACACAGAATTTGTCTGTAGGTTTCTTGATTGACAGCTTGTATGAGACTAATTTACTTTTCAGTATGACTATATTTAATCTGTTTGATGCTAGCATTGGCTAAACAAACTCTCCCTTTGCAGTCCACCGGCTCTCCCCCCAAAGAAGCGTCAGTCGGCACCGTCTCCCACAAGGATTGCCGTGGTTGCACCAATGAGTCGTACCACAAGTGGATCAAGTCTTCCTATTGGTATCTGTCGACAGGTGAGATTTTGGTGTTCCCTTGGTGCTCCAATCTGCAACTTAAGAGCCTAATGTGGGCCTAATGTTACACATTTTGGGATAGTTTTGGTTTTAAAATGTGTGTGTTAAAATTACATTAAAATTAGATTAAATAGAAATATATATAATTTTATATTTTATTCAAAATATTTAATTAGTATAGTACAAAATCACACATCAGGATTTTAAAAGGCATTAGGACATGTCCCAAATGAAATGAAAAATTGCAAACCCAATAGAAAATGAATAACAGTTGCTCAAGGTCTTACTCTTTCCCCAAAATTGTTTAGTAACAAGTCAGAATTAATTTGAAATTACATGCAATGGTCACTCAGTTGTCAGTAGCTAGAGTGGCTTTTAAAATGATAGTTGACCAAAAAATTTAAATTCTGTCATTATTTACTGATCCTAATATAATATGTGGAGCACAAAAAGAATTTGGAAGGACATTTTAACTGTTGTTGTCCATGAAGTGAAAGTCATGGTGTCCAAAGACATTATTTTAAAAATCTTTTGATGTCGAAGAGAGAGAAAAAGTCACACTGGTTTGAAGCATCAAGGTGAACAAATATTTCATGTTTGATTGAACTGTTCTTAATTTCATCTAAAGGAATATGAGGCAGAGGCCTTACAGAGGCGTTTTTCAGGAGGCAGTCACTCCTATGAAGGGGAATCGCCACGACTGTCCCCATGTGGCAGCATCGGCATATTGAGCAAATCAGATGAACAGCTGTCATCTTTGGAGCAGGACAGTGGACAGTGCTCTCGTAACACCAGCTGTGAGACTCTAGGTGAGTCTTTAAATCATTGTTGAGAAAGCTACTTTGAAACGATAGCTTGTCAGACTACACGCCCCAAGAGTGGTTTAAATATATTGATGAGTTTTATCTTCTCTGTTTTGTCCCCTGGTTTACTCAGACACAGCAGAGAGCTACGACCCCGACTACGACTTCCTGCATCAGGACCTGTCTAGCATCGACCAGATCCCTCCCGCACACACGGGGGGTTGTCTGAGCCCACTCCCCGAGTCTCACAACGAATCATCCTCCTTCCCTGTTCAGCTTCAATCAATACCGCCCGCTCTCCCGAAGAAGGAACGGCGAGCCCCTCCGCCTCAGGTGGAACGACTGTACTCTCAATATGACAATGTTCCTGATGAGGACATGCAGACCCCACCGTTCCCCCTCTTTGCTTCGATGCCACCCTCAAACCCTGGAGTATTTATGGGAAACTTTGGCCCTGCTGAGAACACACAGATCCCTCAGAGCCCTCCACCCCTGCCGGAGAAGAAGAGTCGCCATAGTGAGTATGAGAAATGTAGATATGTTGTTTGTAGGATAGCAAGTCAGAGTAAGAAACACTTGTTTAGTCAGTTCTGATAGCCTTGTGGGCAGCGCTATGACATGTAGCACTGTTGCACTTTGGGAAAACCAAGTTAAGGCCCATTCACAACAAGTTATGGTGTATAACTGTCTACATACTGTCCTCTCAAAATAAAGGCAAAAATGAAAAAAATTAAAGTAAAAATTACAAATTAAAAATAATTATAATAAAGTATAAATAATATTATTGATACTTCTGTCTCTGCTGTCAGACCGTTCCCTGTATCAGCACAAGGTTGACATTCAAATGTTAAAAAAATTTGAATTTAAAATTTCAGACATTTTAAAAGGTCTTTTCTTCCATATTGTGATGTACATCTTAGTAAAACAGATTACTGAAAAAAAAAAAAGTATGGCGGGGACTTGGTTCCATTTATCAGTTGTTGATTGAGGCAGATCTGAATGCGAACTTGTTTAAGGGGGTTAACAATATGATTGAAGAAGTCTGGCACTCACCACCAGAGAGAAATCTGTCATTTCACTTTATGATTGAGTTATGTACATTTTTATAAAAAAAATTATTTGGTTAAAAAAAAAAAAAAAACTATATACCAATGAATCATTCACAATAATATCAATAGCATGCATTTAGAAAATAGGGTGAATTTTCATTTCATGCCAACTTTAAAAGCAGCATTTAATCTTTGAGTGCTATGACCAAACAGGTAGTTCGAGCCCTGGCTTTTTTGTTTGTCTTCAGACTAAGCTGTTTGCACAGTTCACTAAATTCCTTGTGTAATCTATGCGAGGAATGACGCAGTATGGCAAAGCCAGTTTTTCACCCGTTTTTCTCTGTAAAGCCCTTCAGTGTCTGGTAGGGGATGGGATACAGTGATGTCATCTTCAATGTGAGGTCAGATGGCATAATGCCTTTGTTGGAGAGATCTCTTAGTGAATACAGTTCAAGGCCTCACCCAAGCCGGCAGGAAATGAGCTCTTGCTGAAAGACTCTTGTTTGGAGGGAGGGATGATTGAATCATGTCGTAATTCACACACGAGCGGTGTGGCTTGATAGAAGAGTTTATGTGAGGCCACACAGAGGATGCTGAGCTGTTTTTCTCTTATATATTTTATTAACTTTATTTATTACAGAGCATTACAGACATGTTCAATTTATGTTTGAGCCTTTTGGTAATCTTCATATTCCAAAATAATCTAGGACATAAACCTACTATTTATTTATTTGTTTAATTTTTATTATTATTTTTTATATATAAATACAGGTGAACTGTTATTCATATCTTTAACATATCACATAGGAATGTGTTGAATTAACTATCTATCTATCTATCTATCTATCTAATTAAAAATTATTGTAAAATATTGTTGATATTACAAATAACAATTATTTCTAGAAAACTTAGATTAATACATGCATATGTCAGCTGTTTTATACAGATTCATCCTAGTTAGCACTGATTATTGAATCTTGAGATTATTGAATATTGAGCGTCAATATTAATTTGCATACTGTTTACAAATGGGATTATGACCAAATTCTGCTTGATTTCACAAATAAACAGAATAAAATGAATGATTTTATCATTCAGCCTGCTATGCAACTGTGCCTTCACACCCTCTTACAGTCTCTTAGTCTCATTTTGGCATCATAACCTTTACCTTTATGCATGTGCTAGTTTTTAGCACCTTGTGTCTTGATTTAACCTATTTACTTTTTGCCTCGTTTACCCACAGTACTGAAGTACATGCAGTTTATGGAGGACTATTCTGAGCCACTGCCTTCCGTTTTCTACCAGACGCCACAGAGTGAAAGCATTTACGAGCAGCGCAATAGGAAGCGTTTTCAGGAAGTGTACGGTCTCAGCGACTCCTTCAGCAGCAGTGATGAGACCCTCCCTCCGCCAGCACTGCCACCCAAACAGAGACAACTGGTGAGAGCTAGATCACTGCCGTCAGTGCTGCGCCCACACACGCTGTGCACACTTTGAGTCTGTCTCATTCGCACCCTCCCTAGACGTTGATGCAATGTTTTTCTTCCTACTGAGAGTCACCATTAATCATAATGGTAGCAGTATTATATTTTTCTGTAGAGTCAGATTATTGCTTGTAGAAAAGCATTCATTCTGTGTTGGTCTTACTGAAGTTCAAGTGTTGCCTTGGGCGATCAGTGTCGTATTATGCCAGTAAAAGTACATCTTCATCTTACATCATCTATTTTCTCATTGTGTGGTGTGTGAACGTGTCTGATGTTTATTCAGCTAATGCCTATGAGAAACAGCTCAAATAAGAGTAAAATGTAGTAACATCCTTTAAATCTTGTGCTATTCCTGGCTGAGTGTAGCACCTGCAGCTCTGCATATCCTTTTGTGGCATCTCAATGTTAGAAACAAGCGACTGAAGTTTATTTTTTAACAAGGTTCTTGGTTATTTTTGTGACACTTTTTAGAACAGAGACTTGTTTTGCTTTATGGTTCTCTAATGCAGTTTTACAAAGAGACTGTTATAAAAGGATGGTACATTTTTACACCTAATAAATGATGAAATGCATATAGGACACAGAGGGAAATCTGAAAACTTGCAAACAGGCATGAGAAAAAGGCATTTGAAGACACTGTATCTAATTTGACATGCAAAGAGGAAATTTACATAGAAGACTTGAAGGCACAATGCAAGGGTTAGAAATATAGTCTATGTTATATTGTACTGATAAGGTTAAAAGTGGGCACCAAGGGA